ATCATAACATACAACAATGATAGTCATAGGGTACAATAAGCAATCAAATCATACTAGGAAACAGTCAATATAAATCGTAAGAATACAAGCGACAAAGTTACAGTCATACTGTCACAAGTGGGAGGGGATGGGTGATAAGGAGTGATGAGAAGATTAATAGTAAGAGTAGTGCAGATTTTGTAAATAGTTGGACAGTGTTGAGGGAATTATTTGTTTAGCAGAGTGATGGCATTCGGGAAAAAACTGTCCTTGTGTCTAGTTGTTCTGGTGTGCTGTGCTCCACAGCATCGTTTTGAGGGTAAGAGTTGAAACAGTTTATGTCTGGGATGTGAGGGGTCTGTAAATATTTTCACAGCCCTCTTTTTGACTCATGCAGTATACAGGTCTTCGATTGAAAGCAGGTTGGTAATAATTGTTTTTTCTGAAGTCCTAATTCTCCTCTGGTGTCTGTGTCTGTCCTGTTGAGTTGCAGAACCAAACCAGACAGTTATAGAGGTGCAGATGATAGACTCAATAATTCCTCTATAGAACTGGATCAGCAGCTCCTTGGGCAGTTTGAGTTTTCTGAGTTGGCGCAGAAAGAACATTCTCTGTCGTGCTTTTTTGATGACGTTTTTGATGTTAGGTGTCCATTTTAGGTCTTGTGATATGATAGAACCTAGAAATTTGAAGGTCTCTACTGTTGATACTGTGTTGTCTAGTATTGTCAGAGGTGGTAGTATCCATGGTAGTATTCATGGTAATCACCATGAAGAAGCTTTAAATTATTTAAACTTCCACTATATCCAGTTCTAAAGCATAGTTATATCCATTCCACCTAACTATGTCAGCGCTTCTAGGTTCTCCACACAAGAGGAATTCCACCCAAAAACCACAATCCATGAATACTAATACTGCCTTTATTGTAGTAACAGAATCTTGAAGGCGGAAAGCCCTTTAGTTTTACTTTCCAGAAAGCTAGGGAGATTTTTCCCACACTCCTTATAATAAGGTAGTACCTCTGTATGTGTGTATGTGTGTGTGTGTGTGTCTGTCTCTCTCTGTCTCTCTGTCTCTCTCTCTGTCTCTCTCTCTCTCCCCGTGTGTGTGTAAAAGCATAACAAACCATTCACGTAAAAATACCACCATTTATTCCTTAGCTAAGGAATCTTTAATCTATTCAGTCAGATCAAGGCTCCATAAAAAAATTATCCATGATTTGGAAGGTTTAATTACATTAACATCTTTTGCAGTCTTTCTGTGGTTTCTAAGCCTTTTTCACAAATATTGTTAGCCCACATTATACTTCTCATTTGAGTTTGTTTCTTGCATTTACTTCTGTTAAATCTCATTCTTTTGTCTTTAGTGCATTCCTCTAACTTACCAAGATCATTCCTATTTCCTTGAATATTAGAAAGCCTGCTAAACTTTGCTTCGTTTTTAAACTTGGCAAGGGTTCCCACCACCTCTTCATCAAAGTCATTAATAAAAATAAAGGATGAATGTAAGATGGATTGACTTGACCTTGGAGCATGCGATGAGATACCTCACTCCAGTTTGATAAGAATTTCCTGATGATCACTCTTTCTCACCCTCTTAATTGCAACAGGAACATACTTTGCTAACCATTTTTCTACCCAATTCAGATGTTGCTCTGAACTCATCCCCAGCCAAATGTTCTTTTAGGTTTTATAGTACAGTAGGGATACCTGTAGATACTTGTTTTTAGAAATAACCTATGTGTATAATCATTTGTTTTCTAATTTTCACAAATATGATCTGTTTTTTTCTACTCTCCTCCATTTTTTAATTAGAATTGGTTGCCACTGTGCTTTCAATAACTTCCATTTTAAAAATTTCACCTGTCTTTAAGCCCCATTTTCCTTTAGCGTCACTTTTCTGCCTGCCTCTGCTTTGTTTCGATGACTATATTTATTATAGTCTAATTTGCAATGGTTAATTAGAATCCATTTTCAGTCCAAGATGCACTCAGTTTTAATTTCTCTTAAAACCAACTATTTCAGCACTTTCCCCCAATGTGCCTTCTCTTTCTCCTTTCCTGGCTTGGTATATTTAGTCAAGAGTTTGGAAGTAATCAAGTGGTTGGCAGCAGTTAAGAATTCTAAGTTATTATGTGCTTCCCCCAAACTGGTTGGCTCTCTTCTTGAACCAGAGCATATTCCAGGAGTCCCTTTTTTGTGTGTGTGCAAAATTCTTCTCTAAGACCTCTTGATGTTTGCTGTTCCTGGCAATTACCTAGTCTGCATGTCAAAGCTACTGGTAATGAGATATAGTACTTCTGCAGGTATTGAATGCAGAATGAAAGAAAACTATACACATGAGAGCAGAAAAGTGTCAATTTGATTTTTACAGAACAAAAGTCCTGGAAAAAAGACTTTGTATTAAGACTTCAAGAAATGTAAGAGAAATATTGCTGTTAAGTGATTTACTTTTCATGGTTGGATAGCCAACATAATATTCACTTAGGGATACATTTTCTTCTGTTTCCAGATATAAGGCTTAATTTCCCATTTGTAGTTAATCTTGATTCCCAGCTCTTTGCTCTGTATTTTTTAAAAAAATTCATTGACTATTTGTTGAGAGGTTGTATGCCTCTAGATACCAATGGCTAGGGGAAATTAATAGATCCGGAAGAAATTTTTAATCTGACCTGCCTACAAGGCTTCCTATTGGTATCTGGTGACCAGTTTAGAAGCCAGACACTGGACTAAATGGATCTTGTGCTGAATTAATTGGATGCTCTCCTATCTCCCTATGATCAATAATATGTTTGTCAGGGGGACTTCCAGTTTGAAGTCTCTTCAGCGACAGACAGAAATCCGCGATCGTGCGTGGTTTCTGTCTGGGCTCGCTGCTGGAGCGCCCTAAGCTGACTGGTTTCAGGGCTAAGTCACCCCGTAGAGGTGGTGAAGAGGGGGGAGACTGCCAGCAGGGTCGAGGAGAGCCACATCTCTCCTCCTCAGCTGGCCATTACTCCCTTTCCCGAAGGCGGTTGAAGCGATGGTCAGAAATGGCCACCACAAAGAAGAACTCGACCGGAAAAGAATGTGCAAGAGGAAGATAAGAAGTGAAAGTTTTGGCTGACCGGGTTAAATTGTAAAAGCAACAACCAAAATACCCTGGAATTCAAACTTACAAAAAATAACATCGCTCCCTAGAAGAGTCGGAAGCAGCAAAGGAAAGTGAACAGGGAAAGGTTTGGCTTTTTTTTTCTTCTCTCTCCTTCCCTATACTGACAACTAAGAGACTTTAATAAGAAATCAGAAAAATCCACTTTGACATCAGTAGGCAATTAAGCTGAAAATAAAACAAAATGCCAAAGGGATAATAAAGATTTCTGGACTTTTAAAATTCTCTTTTTCATAAGCAGGAAGGGAGAGAAAAAGAATAAGGGCAGGATCTGGAAGAGGGAGGAGACTGCCTGGAATTAAAAAGAATCTACAGTAAAACTTCAACAAGACTTCTAAATGATACATTTTAACTGAAATTTTGTAACCAAATAGTAACCCCAGGAAGAGAAAGTGAAAAAAAGAGCAAAAAGAAACAGCTTTTGTGTATTTGGATTATTTGGTGATCTTTGGATTCTTGGTTATTGCATTTGAATGACTAAAATTAATCAGGTGGTTGTTTAAAAATTTATACAATGGCACCACTTCTGGATGAATGGAAAATGGAACTTAAAAAGTACAAAGAAGATGCACAAAAAGGGAAGGGTTCTTTTGGCTTCATTTTTCAATTCTTAGAAATGCAGATTTGGAACTAAGAGAAACAACAAGAAATGACTGCAAAACAAGAAGACTGGGGCAAAGAAGAAGCCATCTTTAATGAACAAGTAATTATGTGGGGAAGAAAAAGAAAAAGGGGGAAAGAGAATGGAGAATTTAAGACTTAAAAAACAACCAAAGAAAAGAAAAATAATTCAAAAAATAAGTATAATATTGGAAAGCAAGAGAAAAGGGGAATACAGAAGAGAGAAGTAGAGGTAGAGAGACAAGGGGGTAAAAAGGGGAGAGAGAAGAAGAGAGGGAAGACGGAAAGGAAAAGAAGTTACAAAGGACCGGAGCAAGATATAGAGAAACAGGACCTATTTAGAGATAGTGGGTGAAAATCTAACTGAAAAAGGTATTCTGTAAAGGTACATAAGATTGTATTGTTATATTAGTAATAGAAAAAACTTTAGAAAATTGGAAACAATATATGATTAAAATGAGGGATAAAATAGTTAGTGTAATTTAGTGAAATGTTTGTGAATAAAATAAGTGAAATAAAATAAATGAGAAAATTGAATTAGGAAGGAACGGGAACATTTTAATTAGTTAATGTTTTATAAAATATAAGTGAATGGGGGGTGGGAATTAACTATGGAAAGCTTATAATATTTCCCATAGAAGTATGATATTTAATTGAAAAGTAATGTTAAAGATGTTAAGACTTTAATGAATATTAATATTAATGATAGAATTGAATTGGAATGGAATGTTGTTTCAATTATATACATTTATAATTTTTTTTCTTTTTTAAGAATACAGTGTGTATTTTAAGAATGTACCAAGCAGAATCCAAATGGAAGTTATGTATTATATTGAATATTATAACTTTAGGGTATATATCACACTATCACTATGGAAAGGACAACTGAAATGCCTTTTCTGGAGCGTTTCAGCAGACCTCCCATTTGTGAGAAATTTAACAGCAGGTTTAAAAGGTATCCCCCCCCACCTCCATCTTGGCTGATTTCTACCTTATTGTTTGAGATTGCCAATGACTATTGATATATAATACTGATTTTTCCAATTGATATATATTGTATTGTCGTTCTATTTTTATCTGTCATTGGAGGTTGTCGAGGAGACACTGTTCTAAAAGTTGTAACACAATTCATGGAAGCAAACAGAGAAATAATTTTCTCAACATTATTAAATTCATGTTTGCTCCTGGGTTGTATCTATCCAGTGATCATCATTATCATCATCACCCCCACCACCAGGTGTGATTCCTACCTGCTGGGCAGTTGCATCTCTGGTAGATATCTCTAGCCTCCCGATGTCTTGGCAAATTGAAGTTTATCCTCTGTAAAATGAACGAGGAAGAAAGTAACATTAACAATCACAAAGCCAAACGTTTCTGCTTGCTACAACACATTTGTGTGTGTGTGTGTGTGTGTGTAATCAGTTCTGAACTACAAGGAGGAAAAGACATGTGTTCCTGGGTCAAAAACAGACAACAGTCTTCAATTCTAATCTCAGCATCTGTTTGACTGAAAGCAGATAGAACTTAGATAATGGAATTTCTACAAAGCATCTTTGCTGTACTGTCTGAACTGCAACTGTGTGCCAGAGCTCTCTGAAAGGACTATTATCCCCTTAGAAGAGTTGGAGAGAAGTTAAAATATGGAAACTTTGATCCAAGATGGCACCGACAACGGCTGTCTTGGTGAAATGCTTTCTAATGGTTTCATGTACATTGAGAGCATTTGCACCAAGACAAATTCTTTGTGTGTCCAATCACACTTGGCCAATAAAGAATTCTTTTCTATTCTATTCTATTCTATTCTATTCTATTCTATTCTATTCTATTCTATTCTTATTCCTATTCTTATTCCTATTCTATTCTAAAAGCGCATCTTAGTCTTGCTTTTCTTATGGTCACCATGAGATCATAACCTAAAAGAAGGCCTCCTGCATTGAGACAACCTAATCCATGTGGGCTCTAGTGTTTGCAAGAATTGGGGAAATATTTCCTTCCCCAACCATTTTATGATATTTGAGAACTCTTTTCACTACTTGGCCAGCAGGAATGAAACATGGGATGGGGAAAATTCAGCCCATTCTGTTGGGGATATGGGAAAAAATGTGTTTTACTTCACATTATAATGAGAAGTTATCAGATTTATTTTTGTGAGTTATTATATGAAGCACTGTATATATTAATTTTGTCCCCAAGGTGCTTTTCAAAAGCCAACTGGACTTTCTTGAATTTTTCCATGAGTGTTTTGCTTCTTATCCAAGAAGCTTCTTCAGTTATGAAAAATCCAAGAAAAATCAGTTCTTTTTTGAAAAGCACCTTTCTGACAACCACGACCTGGATAACTGAGAATCTCCATAGACCATTTTGGTCCTTTTTTCCCAATTTTATGGTCCGAGTGATTTAAAAAAAATATATTGTTAATTGATTTCACTTGCATACTTCCAGAATCATCTTATGACTCAGTGGAGGTTTAATTTTAAAAAAAACATTAAAAACAGAAACAATTCTTAAAAGCTCAGCATATTCAACAAGCAGGAATCATAACAACATGCAAGCAATAATTATAGTCACCATCATAATATACACCTGATGGTGTCAACCACACATTGGGCAGCTTCCAAGGGCTTTGCAGCATATCTGTATCATCATGGGTTGTCAGAAAAATGCCAGACATGGTCCTAGCCTAACTTCTAGAGCAGGGCTGTCAAACTCATGTCGTCATGGCGGCATCATGTG